ATATTAACAATAGAAGAACTAATGTCGTGAGTTCCTTATTTATCTTATAATTACAAATATAATTTTCATGTATTTAAAATATATTTTTCAGACATTTCAATAGAGTACATTTAATGTGCTACTTCATTATACTTTGTACTTGAAAAGTACTAAACAACTAGATTTTAAATGAATGCATTTCTTTAAATCATTTTGAATTAGGATTTGGAAAGTCCAAAGTACCAACATTCAGAAACCAAACCAAATAAGAGACTGTGCCAGATTTGCACATTTTAGCGCAAAAGGTACATTTTCATAAAAGGGAATAATGTTCATAAACAGGTAAGCAAGCTAATAAAACATAACATGAGGTTCCTTCTCTTAAGGGAAATTGCTTATCTTTAGTGTATGTAAAAGTAATAACAAATAGTACTTATTGCATGACACACTGTGTTACGTATTTTATGTAAATTAGTTCTTTCAACAGTCACAGTAGCTAATATTACCACCTGAGTTCACAGAAGAAAAACACTGGCAAACAGCAGCCACCTGCATAAAGGTAACACAGCTGCTCACTGTGCTGAATTCGGGATTTCAGTTCAGCCAGTCCAGCAGCCAAGGTCCAAACCACTATACTATAATCCTGCTCAACAAATTTGATTAAAATTATTTTTTAAGTAGTCAAATATTATAAGAAATGACATTCTGGTAAAACAGTGGCCCTCCCCTTGGTTTTCTATATCCCCACTGATCATATTTAAAACATGTTTTCATTATACTTAACACTTAATTTCCAAAACATGCATTTCTAAACTGAATTCATTTCTTTAAAAACTTTTGAATTGGCATGTACTACCTTTTAAAGAGAAAAAAAAAAAACAGCAATGGAAATATGGCAATAAATGCCCCAAAGAGAAAGAGAGAGAGAATGGAGAGAATGACAATGAAAGGCTGAATTTTCATCTGCAGGAGTGGATAAGGTCACCTAGGGAAAGAAGGCGTATGGAAAAAGACAGAGTGCTGGGAACTCTCTAGAATTCTCCAGGGTATTTAAGGGTCTGGTCATGGAGAAGGTGCTGCTAGTAAGCTTGAGGTAGGACACCAGGATAAAGAGTGTTTCAAAGAGACATGATTAACTGTTGGTTTCTGCTGAGAAATATATAAAGCAAGAAGATGACGGAGATTTAGCCTTTCCAAGAGGTTGGTCACTGGGAGCCTCCATAAGGTCTGTTTGACCGGACTGGTCAATAAGGACCTAAGCAGAGTGCATGGTGGAGCAAATGGAGGAGACCAGAGATCATGTATGTCATAATCCTTTGGAGTCCATTTTGTTGTGAAGAGAAGTGGAGTGGCAGCGAGGAGAGATGGGCGAGAGGCACTATTTTTTAGACACATGATATGGAGACTGGTTCATATCTCATCAAAGAGAATAATTCTCAGAGTTTGTTGACTAGAATCATTCTCTTTGATGAGATGTGAACCAGTCTCCATATCACGTGTCTAAAAAATAGTATAAGGGACCAGGAAAAAGACTAATAAAGTAAAAATCAAAGTCAACAAGCAACTATAAACCAGAGACACACTATGGGAGGGGGGGATTAGGGCCAAAATAAGGGGAGGTGGGAATTATATGGGGACTATAACCAAGATGAAAATGCATACATTGTGGAAAAATGAAAAATGATGTAAAAAATATATAAAATGAAATTAAGGAAAAAGAGAGAGAATGATTCTCATGTGGTGTGACAGTTGATAACAGTAGCTACTCTATAGGCTTCTTAAAAAGGTCTATCTTTGGGCCTCCCTTGTGGTGCAGCGGTTGAGCGCTGGGCTGCAAAGCTGCCCACAGCCTCTGCAGTGCTGGTTCCATCCCTGGCCACTGGGCGAGGATCCCACATGGCATGCAGACCTCTCCTGTTGCCCGCTGCTCCCCTCAGCAGTGTACTTCATCAGTCTGCCTGTTCTGTTCCCCAGTCTGGCTCTGGTGAATTCTCTCACCCTCCTGCACTGAATAAAATAACTGAAAAATAGAATTCTCTTTATTTGTAATACTATGAAACTAAAACAACCCAACTATCTGTCAACAAATGAAGGTGTATACTCTTGATAGGTATTTCCTTACAATAGTGTACTATTCAACAAAACAAAACAAAAAAGGACAGATAAGAAAAGGAAGGAGGGAGGAAGTAAAATGAATTATTGATACATACTACAATATGGTTGAATCTCAAAATGTGGATGAATCTCAAAATAATCATCCTGAGTGAAAGAAGTCAGACAGAGTTTTTACTGTATGGTTACATTTGTAGAAAATTCTAAAAAAAGCAAACTACTCTCTAGTGACACAAAGCAAATGAGCGGTTACCTAGAGAGAATGGAGAAGCAGAAGGAAGGAATGACAGGGGCACAAGGAAATGTTTAGGGTAATGTGTACGCTCTTATCTTGGTTGTGGATATGGTGTGATGGGTGGATTCATATGTCAAAACTTATCAAATCAAACACTTTATATTTATATAATATACTTACTTATATACACTATATACTATATATACTACATATTATAGCATATATATCATATATGTAATATGTATAATATATATACATGTATGCAGTTTACTACCTGTCATGAAGCTATAAAAAAATTAAAGATACTTAATTTCTGAATGTCTGAAATTCTTTATGTGGACTTCCATCTCCTATTAAAATGGGAAAGCTGTATAGACTAGCCATGAAAATGTTGCTAGAATGTTACAAGATTCCTAAAACCTAGTGCCACTTTCAAATGCATATTCTCTCACATTCTGATTGCAATTATAATTTTGCCTTTAAAGGAAAGTATATGTTGTGTGCTGTCTTCTTTAAAACAAAAAAAAAAAGAAAACATAACAGCATTTGATTTATTTCAGTTCTGTGACACTTTGAACTGGCTCAGGTTCAGAAGTTCAGACTGCCACATAGGCAACAAAAATTCATTCCAAATTCATCTTTGACAACATTTATAAACTTGTGCTTTATGTGGCTGTGTCAACTAGCTTATCTCTGGTTAAGGTTCACGCTGCATTTCCTGCAATTTGTGAACACCCTGCTCCAGCCGCTGCCTTTGTGACATAAACATTTAAGGAGCTGGTAAAACAGTCACCAGTTTACAAGAACGAGAAAAGAAGCAGCAGCATTTAGTGGAATCAACTCATTCCCTTTATCCCAAACTCTTGATACGCCTGAGTACCCTGCGGAGGGACTGTAACTGCTTGCTGCCTGGCACTGACAAACTTAATTAACTGTTGCATTTTACTTAACCTAAAAAAAAAAAAAGAAAAGAAAAGAAAAAACCGGCAAAAAGAGAAAACCATGTTACAGGATTTAAGATCACTGGGTGGAAGTCGGCCACGTGATCTACCATCCTTGGGGATTTAAAGTGATTTTTTAAAATTTATTTTTTAGCTTCCAGCTATGGGGAAATTCCCCATAGAATTTCCTCCACCAATTCACCCATGCACCATCGCCACAGTGCGCCCTGCTCCTCCCTCCCTCCTTGCCTTCTGCCAACCCCTCCCCCCAACCCCCCCCCACAGGATGTCTCTGGTTTATAATTGTCTGTTTGCTTTTGCTTTGCTGTGTTGTGTTTTGTATTGTTATTATTTGAAGTGATCTTGAGGGGTCTCCCTGGTGGCACAAGGAGTTAAGTCTCAGCACTATGAAGCCATCCTGCAGCCCCTGCAGCAAAAGTTCAGTCCCCAGCCAGGGCCATAACCCACATGCCACAGCAGACCTCTCCTGTCTTGCCCTCTCACACTCCCGCACCTCTGGCCTGCACCCCAGCTCTTGCATGCATAAATAAATCTTTAAAAAATAATAAAGTGATCTGAGCAAACATACTTCATACACTGAGATGTAGCAGGCACTCAGGGAGTGGGCAAGGTCTGCATTTATTGCTGGACTTTGGCACGACATGTTTGTGCCCTGGGACTAGTTAGCTGGGTAGAGATGAAGTGGGTCCCTCTGCTTTATAGTAATCAGGAGTCCCAGCTTCTTGACTCAGAAATCACAGATTTAAAAAACGTTAAAAATGGAATGATTCAGAAATTGCTCAAAAAAAAAAAAAAGTGGTTTCAGTTACAAATTCCGGTGTTGGTTAGATAGAGAACTGATAATTATGCAAAATAAACTTGATAGGAATAGTTGCTATGGTAAAACCATTTTTCTTGTTTTATTTCCTTTCGGGGAGAGGATGGGAGGCGGTGGTAGGTGGTGGAGATGTTATCACTGAGGTGTTGCACTTTTCCTTCAGACCATGCATGTGATCATATTTTGAACAGTTATATATGTGGAATTAAGCCAGTTCTAAAATTGCTTGAAATTGTTGTTGAGTACATAATTATGAAAGGAAATAAAATAGAGCCATACATTTTTATTTCTGATTTTTCTCTCCCTAAGTCATGGGCCAAGGATATCTAGGCATCTACATCAGAACAACAACAAAAAAGTTACTTTTAATTCTCTTGAACACTTAGCAGCATCTTCACTACATTCAGTGACAGAAAACCGCATGCTAATTTAGAGCAAAGACAATCTCCAAATCCCACTTAAGCAATTTAAACTCCTCTGGCCGTTTGAAAGCCTTCTAAAAAAACATGTAGAAGATACTTTATAAAATTCAAGGCTTAAAAACTGAAAATTAGATGGTAATTTACTGGCTTTAAAGATGATTTCTTTTTCTGTTTTTGACAACATTTCTTCTCAATGGAAGAGGGGAGGCAGAAAATCTTCCCCATCACTGCTGGCTGCGTTACCCCCCAGGCTAGAACGTACCTACCATCAATTCTGGACAGTAACAGAGGTGCTGGGAGGAATAAGCTTTGCTAGCACTAGGGAGTTTCAGAGTTGTCTGGTGCCCGTCATAGTGCATTTGCTAGATTAATCTTAAATTGGAAGTGGTATGAATGATTCCTTTGCAAAGCAACTATTGAGTCCTGTCTGCTTATTTTTTTAGTGACGTGGTTTACATTTTTCTTTGTTCCAGGCCTCATGCCTGTGGCCCAGCAGCCTGTCTACTGCGCTTCAAAGCATGGCATCATCGGATTCACACGCTCAGCGGCGGTGAGGATATGACAGCACCTCTCCTTTTCTCTCTCTCTACAACTAGAAAGCATGAGTCCTAAAACATAGATGGGAATGAATTCTGAAGGCAGGATTTCAGCATAAAAAAAATGGAAGAAGAATAGTATCCATCAATCTTTATTATAAAAATAATTTTCTGATCACATAAAGGACCAGATAAAGAATAGATCATCTTTAAATGAAGTAGATGCTAAATAAAGATGTATTATTAAGAAATACCCTAAGGAAGGGCCTCCCCTGGTGGTGCAGCCGTTGAGCACTGGGCTGCGAGGCTGCCCACAGCCTCTGCAGCGCTGGTTCGATCCCCGGCCACCAGCGAGGGTCCCACCAAAAAAAAAAAAAATAAATACCCTAAGGATAAGTCATGGGAAGATTTTTATATTTAAAATTGACTCCATATTTCAAAAGTTTAACTTCAGGGTTTCTTGATTACACTGTGCAGTATGCTCCAGACATTGCTTGTCACTGGAGAGATGATAAAAGTGAGAGAGAGCAGGGGGCTGCAGGGGAGTGGGCAGGCACTTCCTTTATGCAGTGAGCGGTCAAGGTGGAGGTCTCCATGGAGGCCGAGCGCCAAGTTGTATGGAGCTTAGGAAAGTAGTTTACACCTAACCGACCACTTGCATTGATGGTGTGAAATGAAAGCACTGCCTTTTCATAAAACTGGAAAAAGGCAGCTCACAGGCACGTGACAGCAAGGGAGAGTGTGTGAGGTGTGTCACAAGAGGGAAGCAGAGCCAGACCAGAGTGACTTATGGCCATGGTGATGAGCTGTGTTTTACTGTTAGCACAGCCTTTACACTCACTCCATGGAGTGACAAGATCAGATTTCCAGTGTAAGACCATCTGGCTGCTCTTTCAGAGGACAGGTGCAGAAGAGGGAAGTTCAAAGGTCTCTGCAGTGGTTAGTCTAGGTGAGACAAAGGAAGGGGCTAGTGTAGGAGAGACAAAGGAAGGGGTGTCCTCAGGATAGAGAAAACAGATGTCTGTTCCAAGTTCAATCATAAAAGGAGATTAGCAACCCACGCTCTTAAATCGATTGGAAATTTTTATTTAATTTGCAAAGCCGTAATTTTTAATTCAATGTTCAGTGAGTACCTAAAGCAAATCCAAAGCAAAGTAAATCTGCAAGGCCAGAAATTTCATCTTTAAAATGATAAGACTGGAAAGTCAGATAGTCAGTTCTCATTTTTCGTGGTGTTTTGTCCTGTAAAATCACTGGCAAAGAACCTTTGCTCTTGGGGGTGAAGCAGAGCTGAGTTCCCAAGAATTTCTGGTCACTATGTTTTGATCAACCAGTCCATAAATAGCTTTGTTTTATGTGTCTTTCTGTTTAAAGATACTTTATTTAGTATGTGTTGTGTTAATCGTATTGTATTAACGTTGTCAAAACAAGTACCCTTTGTGCCTAAATGTAGCTTATTATCTAATGCCACTGTTTTTCTGTAAGACCCATCACAGCACAGAAACACTACACCACACTTCAACTCTGAAGACATCTTCAACAGCAAAATCACTGACAAAAAATGACACTAAATCCACCAGACAAAAAAGGGACACTTGTTTATAGTGTAAGAGTTGCATCCAGAAAGCAAAGCGAGGTCTTGTGTGATCTTAGCTGGAACATGCCTTGGGCAACTCAAATTTCTCACATGACCCCAGAAGCTCCAGCAGTATTGATTTCTGGGGTTACACATAGATTTTAGCAAGTATGCAAAAGGAATTCGCAAACCGTGAGGGTTGGCTACATTTTGTTTTACAAATAGGTTCAAATAAATAGATTGAAAATTAAGCCAAAGAATGTGAGTTGGAAATCACTTGAATTATCTTCCAGCTAATGCAGATTACTAAGAAAATCTTTAGGATCACTCAAAGCCCTAAAAATATTTATTTTTTAAGCAGAATTTTTTAAGGAAGTACTTCTGTGTATAGAACACCTATCTCTGGAAGAAAACTTGTTATATTTATTGTAAGTTTCCACTTCTTACCCTTCAGATTCCTACAGATTTAGTAGATCAGAGCAGCTTATGTGATTAAGTATTTTCAGGAGTCTTGCGTCATATAGATTTAAAAAAAAACTTGAGGCTTTCAGGAATTCAATACCTTTGTTAGGTTTTATTTTACTTCCTGCCACCAGTTAACCTTACCATTGTGACTGTTATATAGCTAGAAGGATATCTGACTGGTATTTTTCATGTTAAAGTCTCTTCCATCATTTAAACTATCAGGTTGTCCAATGTGGTACATTTACAAAACTACCAAAACCCACAACCTTCTACTTCTCATTGGCAGATGGCTGCTAATCTTATGAGCAACGGAGTGAGACTGAATGCCATTTGCCCAGGATTTGTGAACACACCCATTCTTGAATCCATTGACAAAGAAGAAAATATGGGACAATATATAGAATATATGGATCAAATCAAGGCTATGATTAAATACTATGGAATTTTGGAGTAAGTAAAACCATTCCTATCTATCGCCTTTTATATCTTGGAGCAAAGTACAATCTAGACATAATAAAAGGGGGAAAAATAAACTTTTAAGTCTTGGAAACTAACGTAAGCTTCAAAGCTTTGGTTTGGCAAACTCTCTAAAGGAAATTTTTTCTGAGTTTCTGAATAGAATGTGTTTATACATGATGAATCCTGCCCTGAGATACAGTGTGTTATTAATATCTTCAGTCATAATCAAAAACTGTTTTTTAAAAAGGTGGTATTTCACTACCTTTGGAAGCAATGATACCTTATCTACCTAAATTCCAAGCAATATTCATATATATACCCTTTGTGAAATTCATATGGCCCCATTTCACCATTGATTTTTCCTAAGAAATAATTGATCAGTTCAGATGGTGAATGACAACTTAAAACAATTGAGTTTTCACAGTAGAGACACAGCTGTCGTGTTGAAGGACTCAGACCTTCCGAGATCAAACCCCACCTCAATCAGTGACCATCAACTTGTCCCCTAGATATATGGAAGGTAGTTAAAACAGCAAGATCTGAACAATAGATGTTCAATTAACGTTAGCTGTAATCATATTTCTACTCTAAAAATACTGTTATCTGATACATTTGAAATCTGCAGATAGGATAGTTAGAAAATAATCTTTTTCTCAATATAAATTAATATAAATTCACAAATCCTGCCTCTCAAAATGACAGGTTAGACAAAGAAATCTACAATAAAATGTCATGTAGTTTCGTTAATATCTAATTGCATAAAAAAATAACATTGTGGTATTTAATTCCCCATTACACATTAAAGGTAGCAGGGTCCTCAGAATTACTCAAGATGAAGTGATAATCATGTCTCATATTTTTAATTGTAAAATGCCAATGTTGCTTTTATTTTTAGCCCATCCGTGATTGCCAATGGATTAATAACACTTATTGAAGATGATACTTTAAATGGCGCTATTATGAAGATCACAACTTCCAAGGGAATTCATTTTCAAGACTATGATACAACTCCATCTCAGGCAAAAGCCCAGTGAACATCTCATACATCAGCCATAACGAAACTAAGCACGGATGGCTTCTATTCAGACCATATCTTCATTTGAATACAGCTTTTGAAATGAAATGCTATTGTTTGAAGCTTTCCTTCATGCACTTGATGTTAAATGTTTCCTAAATGATTTGTTTACTATATGGAAAAAAAAATTATGAACTCTCAGACACGTGATGTGGACCAAAGCTAGATTTTGATCTTTAGAGTCGTGCTAATGATTAAAACAAAGGATATTCAAGGAGTATTCTGCCTTTCAGAAAATGTATTTAAAATTATGGTTCATAAATATTAATGTTTTTCAAAACATCCTTTTAAAGGAGATACTTGAAATATTTAATTCAAACCAGATGTAAAAAGCTCATTTTACTTCCATGTTCGCACTTTAAAAGAGGGAGCTACCTACACTGGCAAATTTTTTGTTACCAATAACTTTCACTCATGTACCATCTTCAGCTGAACATTTCAGTTCTTCAAAGATGTGGCATAGTAGGGGGCCAGTAGTTGAGAAATAAATTATAGAGTGAATATATCAAATGAAAAATCTCATATACAGAATAATGACTACTGGATCCACAGTTCAGCTTCCCATCTAGGAAAGATATTTCCTCATTCTTTGCTTATTTTTAACTTTAATTGACTCCAAAAAAATCTCAGGAATAAAACTTTTCACAGTTATAGTAAAAAAGACAGTGCTCCTGCAATGTTTTATTTACAATATGCTCATTAAGAAAAATTACATGTGTATTTTTTTTTCAGATTGCATCTTTGTTGATTTGTTCCAATTTCACAAGTACATACTTTTCAATAACTCATTTTTTCCCTAATCTCCAGAAGTTACTTGATGTTCTATGCATGACTATTGGGGAAACCAATTTTGTCACAATCTCAACTATAAATATTTTTTGTATACTCAAAGCCATAACAAGAAATAAAATATGATGTTTTGTAGTTTTTTCCTGTCAGCTATTTTAAGGTATTATCATTAAAAGCCCGATTTGCAAGCAATAATTAATGCTAACAGTCAAAGCCCAAGGTTCCCAAATCAATCATTTCCTCATTAAAATGTTGTGTAAGGATTTAGTCTGCCTGCTAAGTCTGCAGTACTCCCAATTTGGGGCAAAGGATTTCCTAGCAATACTGGAATGGTATAATGTCATGTCTTGCTCTGTTTTAATTCTGTCATGGAAGTATTGCCTTCACTTTTAAGGAGTAATTTGAATATGAATAATTGTTGTCTTGTGTTTCACATACTGTGTTTGGAAAACTCCAGAAAATGGACATCAGTGAACACCTAATAGAGATCAGTTATAACTATGCATAAGTTGCTTTTAGCTTGTGGCAGTAACAAAGCAGAAAATAATATAGGTATGTGGAATATCATTTATTTTACATATTTCCCCATGGTAATGCTCAAAGCTGTAGCTTAAACTTTACATATATGGGTAAATTTTTTGTACTGGCAGCCTTTAATATACTTTATGCTTTAAATGAAATTTTTTCGAATTCAGGAACTCTGCAAATATTTAACATCAAAACTGAATGTAACTGAGAAAAAAAATGTGTTATAGTGTTATATATTTTAAAAACTAATTTTACATTAAAGTTGTCTTATAAGTAACTTTAAATAAATCTACTATGTTATGTGACATCTCTATATAATGGGTGAGAAAAAAAATCTTGTATCGGGGGATAGTCATTTCTGTATTTTTCAGTGATAATCAATGTAAATATGTATTTTTTAAATGTATATTTCTTAATAAATGAAATAGCACTTCCAAAACAGCACAACTAAAGATATGTGGACACTGAAAAAGGATGAATAGATTTGGTGATGACACTGACATACCCAATAAATGTAGTTTTCCCATATAAAAATAATTTTAGACACTTGTCTCATTTCAGGTATGTCCTTGTACAATGATTTCTGTTTACTTTCGCTCTCTCTATTCAAAAATGTAGAATACAGAGGCGGTCTGAAAATGTAAATAGTTAATAAAATCCAAGTGACTTCACACACACAATATCTGCCCCTTTTTTTAAAGTTAGAATCTCAGAAAACAGATTTATTGGTGTGCAAGAACAGGTCCCTGGGTCAGGGTCACAAATGAAGTCATTATCTCCCGGGCTCTTCTCTCTTGCTAGTTTCCCTGCTATGCATTTCTCTCCATATGACTTCTCCCAGAATCTACTACACAGCCGGATTCTTGCTAGTTTCCAGGTTGGCAAAACAAGAACTTGTTCTAGAATGACATTCACTGGCCATGCTTCAGTTGTATATCTCTGTGGTCAGAGAGACCTATCACCTCCCCCAGAGCTGATAGAATTACAACTCACTGGAACAGATGAGATGGGCAGGAAATAGATCTGAGTTCTATGGACTAAGATAAGAAGAATGGTTTCCACAAGGAAAAATATGCTGCCATTACCAGAAAGTAGGTTAATCCATACTGAGCTAAAGCAATAAAAGTCACTTATAGTGGAAGTCAAAGAGTGAAGAAGCTATGCCTTCATCCTTTGGAAACATTTGTAAAATGATCATGGTTTCTGTAGCATGCCTCGATCTATGTCTTCAGGCTGTATATGTCACATTGAATAGGATATGATAAAGCAAAAGGGAAGAAAATAAATGGGAAAAACAGCAAGTAGCTCATGCATATATGATTGCGCTCATTCTCAATATAAAATATGTGATTTATTGTGAATCACAGTAAGACAGTTTCCAAATCTGCTTACTTCTATGGTTGCTTCTAGACTTCCTTAATTTTTGAATTTCTGACCATATCACCATGTTAATCCTATGGTTCCATTCACCTTATTAGCACCACTTCCAATTCCAATTTTAAAATCCCATCTTCGGCATATAATGGCACTAAATTTAAATAGGAATTTCCATGTTTAACCATTAAAAAATATGTCCTCCCAATTTTCAAGCAACATTTCCACACATATGTTCACTCATTCAACAAATAAATACTTAAGAGTTATTTGTTGGTAAATTTATATAAACATTTCAATACATCAGGTTCCATGTAGATACTGGTGCAGATATGCATAGATTTTGGTCTGGTCTGAAAAACAGCATTCAAGACCCAAGGAATCTAATATGAGGAACCGGTACAAAGATAATGGAAGAGCTGACGAATCCAAATTGGGATGAGGAAGCAACACAGCAATAGCTGGGAGGCACTCTCACATGTAAACTGGTGGGACTCAGGTAATTACCACACCCAGGAACCAGTTGGGGTGTTGCCAAGCAAAGCTGGGACTCCAGAGACTATAGAGCAGAAGCGAGCTGGTGGGCACCGGAACCCTGGGGAAGGCAGTCACTGCCAGAGATGACATCTTAAAATGGAGGAGGAAGAGAGCTGCTCTGAAATTTCCCACCTGCCTGCCCTTCATTAACCTGTGAGCATGTCAGCGTCTCCTGGCTGGGTAGGAGTCTGGGAAAATGTGATTTGTGGGGTCAGTCCCTTATGATAGCAAGCTGGGCAATATAATGGAAAGGAAACTATATGAGAATAAATAGTGAGTGACAGGCATGACCTGCCTTTGGTGTTTTCTCTGCTACTATCATAGATTTTTTTTAATATTCATTTTTATTTATGCATATAAGAACTGGGGTACAGGCCAGAGTTGCGGGGGGTGAGAGGATTCACCAGAGACAGAGTAGGGAGCAGAATAAGCAGGCCCACTAAAATACACTGCTGAGGGGAGCAGTGGGCAAGACAGGGAAGGTCTGTTGTGCCATGTGGGGTACATGCCAAAAAATGGTCTCTGGGCTTGGTGTTACTAAAATTATTAATATACAGTTGGTCAAAATAACAACTATATTAAAACTTTGTAAATAGTTATTTTTAAATTGACAGCTAAATGTGTCAGAAGTGCATCTTTACTAGCATCAATGGAGTTTTTTTTCCAGTTAATTCATGTATGCAATGATACATAGCTTACTATTTTTCGATACAATGATAAATATCAGTGTCAAATCTATTTGCATAATAGCAAGTTTTGAGAACTTTTGTTTACATGAGTAAGTATCTAGGAATGAAGGTTTCTTTGCAATAGTGTCATTTGGTTCTTTGAATTCCCACTAAACATAAAGACAAATTCATATAGCTTACAAATCACATTCAAAGAAATATAAGCAAGGAGTTTTTCAGGGACCAAATCAAATCTCCAGATAGAGAAAGAGAAATGTAGGAAGGAAAGAATGGTAATGGAAAAAGAAAAAGTGTAAGGAAATAAAAATAAATATTTATATTATTAAGCAATAAAGTAATGATTTCTAGGATTTAAAATATATGAAGCCAAAAAAGCAAAAGTGAGTAAATAGACAAAGTATTTCCGGTTTATATTTCCTGAAATTTGTGGAAAAACCACTAATATGACAAATTTATTTATTTATTTGTTTGTTTGTTTGTTTATTTATTTATTTATAAATCAAAAATGCATGGTGTAATATGTAAGATAACTAATAGGAAAACTCAGAAGAAATTGGGATGATAAAAATTAGTTAATAATTCCCAAGGAAGGAAAGAAGAAAAAAACAGTTCACAGAATCATGGACCCAATATGAAAAAGGCGTGGGGGTGATCGTGGTCAAGTCATGAATTAAATCATCCAACCTTCACTTTACAAACTACAGTGATTTTTCATTGCAGTTAGGAGATAATTTTTACTCTGATCTCACCTGTTTTTTCCCCTTTCTTTTTGATTTCTCTCTAGACTCAGCTGGCTTCTCTGATCCCTGATTTTGTCAAATTGTCTTCCCCCTCAGTGCCCTCAAATTCTTCTGCTAGGTCCCCTCTTCCCATGTATTCTGAAGGTTGACTAGACCCTAATATTACCTCCACCCTATGGCATCCATAACCACTCAGCTATAGCCTGCCACATCACCCTTGATTTTGTTTTTACTTTCATAACCTGTGCATTTATCTTGATCATTTATTCTTATACTTCATTGTACGATTTCTACTATAGCATAACATATACTATAGAAAAAAGGCTGTTATCTGTTTCTGTTCTCCATGTAACCGCAGCATATAAAACAGTGCATGGAACATGGTAAGCATGGTAAGCATTAAGTAAATTTTGTTGGACGGCTGGATGGATGGAATCTCTACTAAATTCCTAAAGCACCTTAGGCTGTCTTAAAAGAAATATACATTCCCAGAAGACACTAAGATAATATTACTCCTTGTCTTTGTATTGATCAAATGACTTCTAGGATATTGTGTCTAAGTACTAAATTTTAAGAGTATTTTGAAAACCTGGAAATTGAAATTTAACTTAAACACAGTGGGAGAAGTACACAAATCTTCAAATTCTTGGAGTTGTCATAAGGAAGATAGAAGAGACATGGTTTTCTCCAGGGAACAGAACTATGACTAAGTGGAGGTAGACGATAAAGTACCATCAAAATTAGAATACTCCAAATGAAATAATCTGCCCTGGCAGCAGGAAATTCATTGATTGTTGATATGGTTGAGGTTGATGCTAGCTAGCCACGTCTTAGAGAGCTTGCACAGCATGTCTGCAGAAGTGGTAAGGTGGATGAAAAATTCTGTCTCTATTCTATAGTACTATATAATGGTCTTTGAAGTTAAGTTTATTTTTTTTAAATATTTATTTATGCATACAAGAGCTGGGGTATAGGCTAGAGTTGTAGGAGACTAGAGGATTCACCAGAGACAGAGTGGGGAGCAGAACAGGCAGATTGACTGAAATCCACTGCTGAGGGGAGTAGCAGGGGGGGACAGGAGAGGTCTGCTGTGCCATGTGGGTAGCTCCCTGGCTGGGGATAGAACTTGTGCTGCAGTAGCTGCGGATTGCTTCATAGTGCTGAGATCTTAACCCCTGCACCACCAGGGAGGCCCCTGCAGTTAAGTTTCTACAAAGTAAGTATTACCACCCATGGCAATACTTCATTATAAGAGGTCTTGTGGTGTTTGCACACTCTTTTGTTTTCTTTTCAACTTTTTGCAATGTCCCTTATTTAATATCTGAGGGTACTAAGACCATACTTGCTGCTTCTGTGGCTGCTACTTATGATCTCTGGCAAGGACTCTTTTCAATGAGTCATGATGGACAACTCATTTTGGATAAACTTATTTTATTTGGATTTTGTGGTAAATGCTTATTATTTGGATTTTGCTTATTTTATTTGGATTTTGTAGTAAAAGGCTTATAAAACACTAAATCAATCACCTACTCCAACTTTTCTGTCCAGGGGGGCTGGAATGGGAGGTTTCCTTGACACAGAAGCTTATTCTAAGCATCAGTTTCTTTAAGTGTTACCAACCTTATGTGATGACTACTAAATTGCTATCACAAGATTTATCCCTCCCACCCCTATCCTATATCCTATCAGTGAGGGATGGTGCAAAGTCATGGGAACACCCACAAACACCTAGGGTTTAGTGGGAATGAACACACTGTCCTCATGTCCTGAATATGAGTCAGAAAGTTGACCTTCCTTTCTAGCCAAGCGAGGATCCTTTCTTTCCCCATCCCTTTCACTCTGACCCATTTCCACAGACCAAAGTCAAGTTCTTATAACATCTTACATGTGCTAACATATTTCCAGTTTTCTTATAACCACTGTGGAACCTCCAGTGTCTGTCCTGGTCAATTAACTGGAAATACTGTGTTGGTGTAATCTAACACCCACGGTAATCAGTCTCTCCCCAGCTCAAAAATTTTAGCTTGTATTTCCAGAGGGATGAAGTGAAGACCTCCAGCCAGACTTCACGTTCTTTCACAATTCACCACCCCTGCCTTATCGGGGCTAACTCCTATCAAGCAACAGCTCCCCTAATCCCACCCCTAGCTTTTCACTTCCTATTCTCATCTATAAATAGTTCTCATATTGAAGAGAGTAGGAGAATGTGCAAAGAGGGAATGGTAGAATAAAACTCCCGCAAATGGAAGAAAATTGAAATGCAGGATGAGAAGGGAAAGGTGGGGGGAGTCTTATGGGGTGAAGATACTAGGAAGACAATTGGATATATTTC